AGTTCTAAGTTTGGCATACTTTATCAAAAAAATTATGTAACAGTGTATTAAAAATTATAATAGTGATGTGTATAAAAAATAACATTAAATAGGAATATATGCTCTTACCATGGAATAATTTTTTGGTTTTTTCAATTGAATAATGTTACTTTTAGACAACATATCCATTTATAACCTAACAAAATATATTTCACAACACATATTTCTTGTGCAGTATAGACCTATTTAAGTAAGAAATTCAAAGAAAACATTTTCCATCATATTTTGTATACAGTGTACAATTAACAGGAAAAAAGAAAAGAGTAAAAAAATAACAACAGGTAGAAGGGAAAGATTTCCAAGATTTAATTCATACACTACTGATTGCTTTATGAAATCCATTTTAGAGAAACTGTGAAGGATATGTTACTGCACCTTCATAAATACACTTGAAAAGCTATATTTGATGCTTCATAGTCTGTGGCCTTAACCAATAATATATGGACAAGTCAATCTAAAGTGTTTTGTATTACAATAACATTTCATCACCTTGACAAAGACTAGAAGTAACAGTCACATGAAATCATACAAGAATTTCCCATTGGTCAGCAAATACAAGAGGTAATGGTTCATGACAATCATCTTTAAGATGCACAAGTGATGCTTGATCTAAAAATAGTTACAAATCTGGTTTGAATTAGGTTTGACTACCAGACATGAACAACTCTTGGGTGCAGCACAAACACTAGCAGGTCACTTTAAATCTTCAGCATTGGCTACAAGAATGTGAAAGGTCTTTTGCATAACTGATGTAATTGTAGGGGATCGTTAACTAATAAAACCAAACTGTTACTGTTAAAATCCATTGGTGATAAAAGAAAGCATTATTACTTTATTAAACAGTCGCTTACTGAATATTATAAACTGCAATTGAACCGTGGTACAAGAATAAGAGGACATTGTCAGACCTATAACAGTGAAATCAGGCTTACTTTCTAATAAATGATAAGGTTGATAACAGTTGTGCATGAAGATTTATAGCTCAGAGTTTGCCAGGAAATATACAGTTTGTATGTTGAAGTTTCTGAGCTTGCTGAGAAGAGCCTATTCATGAATAACTTTGAGCCTAAAATTAAATAAAGAGTCACATAAAGAACAGTCATGAAAGAAGATAAACTTTTGTATACTTTTAAGTTAAGAGATAATTTAAAATGCAAGACCAAACAACTGAAATGGATGTGTAAATCTAACAAAGTGTGCTTTTAACATTAAAAAATAACTAGCTTAACTGTTACTAAATTATAATGTTCATCTTAGGACAAAATGATATGTCCAGTTTATTTTGCTATAAACCATCAGTTGTTTGGGACAATTTTTACAGAAAATATTATTACAAAATGGCTTATGGTTTTACTTATAACTTGATTGCTCATATTGAGTTTCAACTGAAAGTAATGGTAGTTTTACTTATTTTCACAGTCAAGAGGTCTTTTTGATTAGTAAATGTGCATATTGAAAAAATGATTAATATCAGATTATTCTTAACCATTTTTCTCTCTTTAGTACTATTCTACATTTATTTTATACTGATGAAGCTTTGTAACTTTCAGTAATCATTTTTTAGATGTTTACAGGAAATATGTTTTAGACCATGCTCACTTCATAAACACAAAAAATATCAAGACTTTAAGAAACCTATAAATGATAAGGTTAAAACTAGAGGACATTTTTTAGAGTTATAACTCTTCTTATCTGGCACTTTGCCAACTGGCTAACTCCTTAAAAAAACACAAAAAAAACCATCACACACTAAGGGCCCATCTAAGCAGTAGAAAATTATGCTCATGAGAGTCCTATTTAAGATAACTTCATTAAGTAAATAATGTAATGATGTGATAACCATGCAGGAAACTAGAGACTACCATAAAATGCTTTTTCCTCTCTTTTAAACTGTTATTTGAAATGCAGTGTTTTTGTTCTATTCTCATGATAGTTTTAGTATTCTGAATATGAAATATTTTGACATAACAGCATATGAGCAGTTTCTCTATAAAAACTTACAACAGCCAAGTTTGTCATGTTCCATATCTAGTTTTTTACTAGCATCACAAAATATGTTAAAATGTAAATCACAAATACACAATGTAAGCATCTTTTACTAATATTAACCTACCTGTTGATATAAACCCTCATATAAGGCAAAATGATTTCCAGCAACCTTAAAGAAATAAAACATCAAAAATATTAAAATCACAAAAGCACATATAACCAATTAAAGTACACAAGTGTTATACAGTACAGTGCATCAGAAAATCCAATTTATTTCTTAGTCACAAGTTTTATTAAAAATTTATATTTATATTATAAATCTTAATATCTTGTACTGTTTTTAGATTGATCAAAGCTCTAGTTGTTTTACGTTACAGTGAAATAAGTCAACTGTTCTGTTTAACTAGCATCAGAAAAAACAATTTTGTAAATCATAATTTACTACTTTACTGTGGTGATTAATTAGAGCTCTAGTTGTCTTATGTTACAGTGAAATAAGTCAACTGTTCTGTTTAACTAGCATCAGAGAAAACAATTTTGTAAATCATAATTTACTACTTTACTGTGATGATTAATTAGAGCTCTAGTTGTCTTATGTTACAGTGAAATAAGTCAACTGTTCTGTTTAACTAGCATCAGATAAAACAATTTTGTAAATCATAATTTACTACTTTACTGTGGTGATTAATTAGAGCTCTAGTTGTCTTATGTTACAGTGAAATAAGTCAACTGTTCTGTTTAACTAGCATCAGAGAAAACAATTTTGTAAATCATAATTTACTACTTTACTGTGGTGATTAATTAGAGCTCTAGTTGTCTTATGTTACAGTGAAATAAGTCAACTGTTCTGTTTAACTAGCAGCAGAGAAAACAATTTTGTAAATCATAATTTACTACTTTACTGTGGTGATTAATTAGAGCTCTAGTTGTCTTATGTTACAGTGAAATAAGTCAACTGTTCTGTTTAACTAGCATCAGATAAAACAATTTTGAAAATCATAATTTACCACTTTACTGTGGTGATTATCTGTCTATTTAACCCTTTCGCTATGGGAAGCGGCTATAGTAAACGGAAGTTTAATTATCATTTAGAGTGGAGATCAACTTTTCTCCACAGCCATCAAAAATTGTCCCTCCAAACAGTAGAAATCAATAACCCTCCATGAGCTTGAATCAACCACTAGACACCGTGTGTTGATATCTGCGAGCATGAGTGGGAAACATAAGTATAAACAATTCCTCAGCTGGGGCCTCAGCCAACAGATAATGCTAGGCACCCGTGCACAGAGATATCAGCTGATTGTTATACTTTCTTTGTGTTTTTAATATAATTTAGGTAAGTTAGCGATGCCATAACATTAAGATCTGCAATGTAAGTGTCTTATATATCATAATACAGTGAAAAATGCTGTTACTTTATGATGTTTTTTATGGAGAAATGACATTGATTGGGGACTGACTGTGAAATCTAATTATGCAGTGAAAGGGTTAAAAACATGATTACATGTCATGTCTAGAGAACTGAAACTTGTGCAAAATGTCTGATAAACTGTTTTAAATATTAACAGGTAATAAGATCAATATTACCTTAATCAACTTAGGTCTACTAACATGATAAGCTTGATTTAATCCCACTTAAACCTCAAAATTAACTTTTAACATGAGCTAAAAATAGCCTCAGTGACAAGTAATTAAGGGTAAATAAATGTTAACTGGGGGGGGGGGGGGG